TCATATTTATCTTCATGAAATGTTCTTCTACAAAAAGATGGTAGGTTCAAAAGGGAGAAGATGGTTATTTCCACAGATTCTTTATGGACCCTCTTTGTTCTTATTTGATAATTAGCATAGTACCTATTCAAAATGCTTCTCTATACACAAAGAAAATTCTACAAAAGATCAGGTAAATCAGTAAAAACAGGGTAACTTTGATCTTTTTGCCTTTAGTTGCAAACAAAAAAAGTTAAAACTGTTTTGTAATGGAAACCAAAGAACAGTTTATCAGCAGATGTAGCTCATCTTTAGAGAAAAGAATTCTAGGTGGTCTCTTGACAAGAATGTGGGCAATACCAATTTTACTACTACGCGCTCAAATACAGAAAGTTATTGCTTACAAAATCAGAGCACCTAACACATCAACTTTGAAATACCTGACTTATGGTGACCCTGTGCGCAGAGGAATGAAACATGATCAGTTGCAAATTGGACCTTTGTAATCCATAGGGTTTTCATTGGCTGGTTTTCCGAAGTAGATAACCAGGCGTTCCTAGTCCATCTTAGTTGGGAAATAACAGTGAAACCTGTTTAGCGTCAAGGCAACACACAAGCCTTCGCTGACGGACGAGTGGTGCTACATGAATGGAACCCGGGTCTTCCATATGGAAGGCGAGAATCCTGCCACTGAACCACCACTGCCCTCCCTGAAGTGTTCTTCCTTGCCAGTAAAGAGTAGAATTACTTCCCTGGGCTTAAGCTCTCGTTTCATTTGGTTTTTCAAAAAAAAAAAAAAAAAATCTTTTTTTGAGTATTTAGAGGCATTATCTACGAACCCTAACTTCTGTGAGGGACACTATCACCAGAGTATTTGGTTCCAAACAGGATAAAACTTTATAGTAGGCTAAGAGTCGTGGGCCAGTTTGTTGTTTATGAATCTGCTCACATGATCTTATGTAATAATCTACTCCTCACTGAAAGCTCGCTAAGACTTTCCTTAGCAGTAGTTATTAACTTTCTAAGTAAATTCTAAGAGTTTTAGACCTTTTTTTTAATTAGATATTTAATGAATGTTAATTATACTTTTTTTATGCCTAAAGATGAGAAAGAATTTTACACACATAAGCAAACCCTGAACCATTGCATTGTTTTGTTCTCAGAAACTTGATGCCAGCATTCCTTAGAAAGAGCAATAACTTAGAAACCCAAATGAGACAGAACACAAAGTGGTCTGCTTGGCTACTTGTATGCTTAGAACGGAGGCGAAACAGAAGTCTTTTTTCAGACCAGTTGGTTAACTCTGGAGAGAAATTTTGTATCAGAGAATATTTAGACAAAGTGCAATGCTTATATTAAAATATATGGAGCTGAGTATATAGTCAAATTAATATGAGTAAAATAACCCCAGAGACTAAAGCTTTGAAGATGATGTATTTTCTGAGCCAAAGTGGGAGAACAGCACCCACCCACCCCCCACCCTGCCCCTCCACAGTCCTTTGTATGCCATTATTGTTTGGAGTGGTTGGGCTTTCTTTTCATGGCTGTTTAAAGGTCTTCTGTTTCATGAGCTTGTTAGTGAAAATAATGAAAGTTTTTCTCTGGTTCTTGCCTCTTAGAAGTACATGTAAGTCATCACTTAGTGTGAGCAAAATTTTCTCAGAAAATTGAGAGGATCTTGCAGTTATAAAGAGGGTAAAACACTTTCGTCATTTGCAAGTAGGAGAAATGGAAGGTTAAAAATGAGATCGCCCCACTGTGTTTAATGAAACAAGGTCAGACAAATGTGATTGCCTGGCTGTGTGGTTTTTTCCTACCTCCTTAAGATGAATCACTCAATTGATCCAGTGTATAGCCATCAAGTTTAGCAAAAATACTAAAAGAAACAGTTATCTATAAAAATAACCACCTGGAAAAGTTATTTTAGGAATTACAATGGAGAACTAGAATTCGTACTGTTTTATATAGTGAAGTGCTTCCAGTGTTGTGTTTTATTTTGTTTTGGTCAGAATTAAAACTTAAACTGGTTTATGCAATTTACTATGTCTTTACTGCATAGGAGCCCTTGTGGTACAGTGGTTAAGTGTTCATCTGCTAACCAAAAGGTCGGCAGTTCGAGTCCCCCAGCCAGTCCTTGGAAATCTTATGGGGCAGTTCTGCTCTATCCTTTTGGGTCGCTGTGAGTCGGAATCGACTTTAGGGCAGTGGGTTTAGTGTTTTTTGTTTGGTTCTTTTGTTTTGTTTTACTGGATATGGATAACGGAGTATATAAAATAACTTGTGAGCACAGCTTGTAGGACACATTAACTGCTTTCTGACCTCTCTGCCCTTTTTGCCCCTCAATGCCATATGTTTTCCTTAAACTCTTCTTTGAAAGTTAAGTATTCTACATAGTATTCTGAAGTTTAACAATCCACAGGATTTACTCTGAGTCACTAACTAATGTGTGGCATCTTAAATCCCTTTAAATAAGTACTGTGTATTTTGTGACTGAATCAAAGTAATCAAACATTTCATAGAGGTACATTATGTACACCATTTATAATCAACATCTATTACACACAACAGCAGTTCTTTTTGAGTACCCACTGAAATTATGGCATTATGTTGCATAATATCCAAAAATTCATTTTTCTGTTGTCACCTTCCATAAATAAGAATTAATTAATTAGTTAACTCCTGGCATAAAGTCTTTGTTAAATGAGCTTGTATGAAGACTTGACATGGCATGGAGCAATACCATAAAAGATGTAAAAAGTGAGAAATTAACTCAACTTCTATTTACTCAGGCAAAATTCTCTAAAGGAGGTTTTCAAACATAATTAGCTTCTGGTAGGGCTCATAAGGAGCCCTGGTGGTGCAGCAGTTAAGCGTTTGACTGCTAACCAAAAGGTCAGCAATTCGAATCCACCAGCTGCTTCTTGGAAACCCCATGGGGCAGTTCTGCTCTGTCCTGTAGGGTTAGTATGAGTCAGAATCAACTTGACAGCAGTGCGTTCGGTTTTGATTTTGGTTTGGTTAGGGCTCATAAGGTCCCCGGGTAGTGCAAATGATTTGCACTTGACTGCTAACCTAAACGATCATCCAGCAGTACCATGGAAGAAGCAGCCTGGCAATGTGCTTCCATTAAGATTACAGCCAAGAAAACCCTATGGAGCAGTTCTACTCTGTAACACACGGAGTCACCGTGAGTCAGAATCGACTGGCTGGAACTAACAACAGATGCCTTGTGGAGCAAATTCCAAACTGCATGTGCAGTTATATGGGTCTTGCAGATTTGGGAGTCCACATCTCAGTGCCCCTTGCTTTAACCTCTACCAATTTGAGATAGAGAAGGTGCTCATTGAGTTTCTGCTGGGTGAATGAAACATTTATTGATCTTCTACTACATGTTAGACATAGTGAAACATAGGAGTTCTGATATATTTTTGTCTGTTTTGAGAACCATAGATTTTTGCATAGTATTTATTGAGGACCTGCTATGAGGCATTGGTGGTTCAGTGGTAGAATTCTTGCCTTCCATGTGGGAGACCTGGGTTCAATTCCTAGCCAGTGCACCTCATGCACTTGGACTGCATGTTTAGACCTACAGTTGGAGATTACTTCTACCTACTACCCATTGCTGTCGAGTCAATTCTGACTCATAGCAACCCTATAGGACAGAGTAGAACTGTCCCAGAGGGTTTCCAAGGAGCAGCTGGTAGATTCAAACTGCCAAGCTCTTGGTTAGCAGCTGTAGCTCTTAACCACTGTGTCACCAGGGCTCCTGACTTGGAAATTAGACCGCAGTTTAGACCTATGGTTGGAGATAACCTGTTATATTCAGCCATACTAAGATACTAGTATTTAAGCTTTACAATTAGGATATGAGTTTCTGTGCCTAGGAGGAAGAGATAAAATGAGCTAAATAAAATTTCCTGCAGTGTATATATGTATATTAAAGTTGAATACATAAAGACATTATCAAAAGCACTTATGCTCATTCTGTAAGTATCTAGAGAAGACAGAACTGATGTTTAGCCCCTCCTTGGTGAATTCTAGATATATTCCCATACCACCTTGTAGGATCTTTTATGTTATGTTTTGTTGTGAAAAATCTGCATTTCGACCCAGCCTTTTCTCTTACATTATAAAGAGACAATAAACAAATTTATCTATTCATGTATAAGCATTTACTTTTTCTGGATTAGTTACAGCCTTGTGCACCTAACTAGATGAACAGAGCATTTTTCTTCTGGGCCCTTAAAATTATGCTTGGTTATGTCAGTGATTGCAGTGGGATTTTACTTCTAGGTTTTCAAATTGCTTCTCTGTATACAATTTAGCTGTTTTCACATGTTGTCTTAGAACATAGTAAGTGCTATGTTTTTGTTTGCTGATCCCTTTTTTATGAAGGTTTTGTAGAAATCCACTAAATGGCAAAGGATGCTATGAGTTGAGGAAAGAAGTGATAATGCCTTAAACTATTTGAACATGAGTCGATTTTATTTTCACCAGTCCTAGAATTAGAAATAGTTCTGCCTAGCCCACTGAGAAGTAGAAAGAAAAGAATGAACAGCAATATAAACACAGAGTAAAGCTCTGACCCAGGTACCCATAGCACCATGGGGCTGTAGATGCCACGTAATAAAATGGGTCTCCTTAGAAGGTTGATTTGACTTAGGAAGCACTTTTTTATTTTGGAAGAAGAATAGTCTACCTCTTCTGCTAAGACTGTTGGACGTTTTCATTCCCAGTAGCCTCAAAACTAAAGACTGATCCAGGCAGTGTTAACCATGGCTTTTTTAAAGCCTCTGGAATAGAGAAAGGGTCCTACTCTTCAGATCTCTTTCACAAGAATCAATTCTTTCCTTTGTAAATGCTGCCATGTAGGTCATATTTGTCTTAACTAACATTGCCATGGCTTACTCTGTTTTTGTGTGTTTAAACAGTTCATCTCCAAACTTGCAAAGTTTTGTTTAATAAAGAAAAAAAGTTCTTGAAATGTGAGAGACAATGTTAGTTAAACTTTCATGTTGCAGATGCTGTGAAGCCACCTGGCCCTTCCTTGCAAGCACCAGCTGATTTACCTTTAGCTATAAATACAGCACCACCATCCACACATGTGGATTCATCCTCTGCTACTCTACCTCCTCCATATCAGCTAATTAACCTCCCACCACACCTGGAAACTCTTGGCATCCAGGAGGATCCTCAAGACTACCTCTTGCTAATCAACTGTCAAAGCAAGAAGCCTGAACCCATGAGGTAACTCGTGTGCTGTGGGTGTGTGTGTATGCGTGCGCCCGTATGTGGGTGTAAGTTTAAGAATCCTACCGTTATATTTTTTACCCTTAAGCCATTTATATAGGCTTATCTTTCAGGTTTATATCCCTCCATTGATGATTTCTGAGATTCAGGAGATTTTATTGAAGGTGCCCAGTCTCTGCCATCTTTGGGCAAAGAACCATTGTATCTGCACGGCCCTTTTGGAAATCTTTCTATACTTTCATAGTCTTTGTTACAGACTTACAGTCTTACTTGCTTAACAGATTTCACTGATTTATAAATGGTGATCTTGCTCCATTTCTTATGTGATTGTAAACCAGCCAAAGGTCATCTTTGGTTTCTGCAGAAGGAGAGGAATACCTACTACTAGAAGATTTTGAAAGCAAAACGATTCCATTGCAGTGAGTGTGTTGTGGTTGTTTTGGATCTGTGTGAGAAATTAATCATTCAGGTAAAATCCCATCATAGCAACTTGTGTGGAATAAACAAATTGGATTGTAATGAAATTTGATAAATATATTGGTAAAAGCTTTATTTCCAGTCTTTGTACCTAGTAATCAAACAGCGCTTACCTCCCAAGCTTTAACTTTACAAAATATTAAGTGAAAAAAGTATATGGAGTTGAATGCTGCAGGAAGGATCATAAAGCCTTTCCTAAATCCTCCATTTCCCTGTCATCCCCATCCCTGTTCCCACATCCCCTCCTCTTCTAAAGTATCAGATATTTTAATTTGATCGTTCGTGTCACTCAGTGTTGGGTAGGTGGAATGCTTGAGGTGACAGAGGGAGCTGGAGAGCAATTCTTTTACTCTTGGAAAAGGGAGCAGGAGGCCTGTTTTTCCCATTAGCAGCTATATGATAATAAGTGAAACCAAGGAATTCTGTGACTCGAGGTCCTGTTTGGTTATTTGGGTACATTATCTTAATTTCCAAAATAAAAGTGGGAGTGAATTGCATAATAGATGTAAAAGATGTTTTTAAGCAGGGTTATGAGATATAAAATACTTTTATGAGAAAAAATACCGTTTTTCCTATAGAAAGTGACTGTTTCATGGGCTAGGACCAGGCAGAGCACTTGTTCAAAAATGTTATATGTAGAATTTGTAAAGACCCACAAACATTCCAAAAGTGGATTTATATGTATTTGTTGTAATGGGATTTTACCTATGAAACAAAGAACAATTTTATAAATCAATACTAGTCAATAATATCAAATTCTAACTTGATTTTGCCTGTTTGCTGTGAGTATTTAAAATTACACACTTGCAACTTTGTTAGCTATGCTACTAACTAAGATTTTATTTCACAGAATCTTGAAATCATTTTTCAATATGAGCTTTTAAATAAAACCAACAGCTAAGTGACATTTTTTCAGCACATTTTATTTTTATATACTATCTTTCAGTGATCTTACTGGTATAACAGCTTTCCTGTTGTAATTTAAGAAATTATGCTGAAAATCATTGCCCAGCTATGTTTTGAATCTGTGTTTTGCAAAAGTGACCGCTGAATAACAGATACCTATAAAGTACCCGCTATGGGGCTGCTATGAGTCAGAATCGACTCGACAGCAACAGGTTTGGTGTTTTGGTTTTTGATATGCCCACCATTTTGCTAGGTGGAGCCCTGGTGGCACAGTGGTTAAGAGCTCGGCTGCTAACCAAAAGGTCGTCAGTTCAAATCCACCAGCCGCTCCTTGGAAACTCTGCGGGGCAGTTCTACTCTGTCCTGTAGGGACAAACTAATTATATTATATTATATTATATATTATATTATATATTATATTATATTAGATACAGCCATTCAGATAAAGTTGCCTTCAGCATTTAAGTATTTATAGAACAAGTCAGTATATGAGAGTTGCCTTGCAAACTCTTATTCATCCTGCAAGGCTCAGCTCAGACGTAAATGCTCCTCTAGGAAGCATTTCTCAAACTACCAGGATGGAATAAACATCCCTCTGGATTTCCATAGCATCATGGTCATGCCTCCATATCTTGATCATAGTATTGTAAGTAGCTTGATATTTTTGTGTGTTTGCCACTAAGTTATCAGCTAGTCAGGGGCAAGAAACTTTACTTATTACTCATTGTACCTCTAGCTACTCTTAACTCGCATGTTAGAATGAATTGAAGTGCAAATTTTAAAATACGCCTAGGTGCTTTAGAAACCCCAAGATGGGACAGTGCAGGTGTTTTTAAGATGGAGAGAGCTTCACAGGAGTAGTAAGATTTGAATTACACCTAGTTGGTGAGAGAAAGGAGACTATCAGTAATTTGGAAAGGAGAGTGCACATGATGGGAAGTAGATGACAAGGAGAGCCTGCCTGGAGTAAAGAGTGTGATTTGGTGAATAGTAGGAAATAGGCTAGAACATTGAAGTTGGAGCAAGAGTATTAGTTGTAGCCTCCATGCCAAGTGGAGTAGTTTGTGGCCTTCGTGTCGTTTCCACAACCTGTAGGGGCCCTTAGTAGGTTTTTCTCTGAGTAAATGAGTGAAATGAAAATTGTGTTTTGAAAATATTTATCTTTTAACAGTATGGTCCCAGTGAGATTGATTTGATGAAGTCCAGTTAGGACTAGAGAAAGAAATCTAGTTAGGAGGGTTCAGTAATCTGGATCTCATCAGAGATGCAGACCTGAACTTGGGTTGGTGACAATGGGAATAGGGCAGGGGAACCAAGACGTGGACAGGAGGAAGGACTATGTACCCAAGCGACGGTGGGCATCGTAGACAAGTTGGCTGGGTTTTGAGTCTAGAAGATCTGGATAAAGGCATTTCTTTTAATGGAAGTCAGGAAGGAGGATCCATTTGAGAAGTGAATTTGGTTTGAGGCACATTGAGCAAGGCAGAAATGCCATTTAAGCAGTTTGAAAATATGGAAGTCAAGTGTTTAGTGCAAAGATGGGAGCTGTGAATATTCAGTGGAAGGTGAAGTCATAGCACGTGTAGTAAAAGATTTGGGGTCTGAACTCAGTTTGCCATTTCCAGGTGGAGTGAGAGAAAGGAGCCAGTAAATGAGACAAGAGAATAATTGGCAAGGGAGAAGCACAGGCAGGATAGCACAACATGGGTTCTCTGATCCCATAGGGGGAGGGTTTAATGAATAAATGCAACATGCAGCACCAGATGTTACTAATAAATCAAGTTATTTAGAGAAATATTAAGTTTAAATTCCTACAGGACTATGAATAGCATGCATAGATAGTTCAGGTATCTTGTTTAGCATTAAAGAAGTGTGAGTTGTTTGTATCATTAGCTTCATCTTGGCTTGTGCCCAGATTGAAAATGTACCCAAAGCATAAACTATTCTTCAGTAAGATTTCTCAAGGTTACTTACTGTTTGGAATTGGTTAAATCTGTGTCTTATATTTTGAGCCTCTTCATTATATAGGCTAAATGTTTGTTAAAGAAAATCAGTAGAAAGGAAGATACATAGAACTTAATAAGTCACCACCTCCATATGTAAGTCACCTTGAATTGATTCAGTACCATGTTATCATTTAGTTTTACAGAACAATGAATTTGCCACAGGTGGGTTAAAAGGCAATCAATCATATTTATAAAATTGTACTGGCACTAGGTTTCTGCATGCTCTTCAGAGGAAAAGCTTTTCCTTGTGTCTGTGCCTTAATCATTTCCCTTTCTCTCAATTTTGTATCTAATTCCAGTGCTTCAGGGGTTGCGGTTTTATGTGTGGATTTAATAGGTGGAGCTGGGCGTGGGCAGATTCAAGACAGGAATTAAGGAGAATGCTGTTGGTAGTTTTGTGGTGGCGGTTTTGTTGTCTGGTGTACAATCATAAAAACTAAAGAAGCCTTTGTGCTTTAAATTCTTATGGATCATACCAAAAAAGCCAGTGAAAAAAGCCATATATTTTGATTGCTAATGTATGAATATATTTATTGAAATGTAGTCCTATGTCTTCATCATACTAACTTTTTATTCTGTTGCTAACAATCTTTATTTAGAACACATGCTGACTCTGCAAAATCCACCTCTTTGGAAACAGACTGCAATGATAACGTCCCTTCTCATAAAAACCCTGCTTCTTCCCAGAGCAAACACGGAGTGAATGGCTTTTTTCAACAGCAAATGATGTATGACTCTGTACCATTGCGCACTGCATCAGTTTCTGTAGACTCTAGCCTTTATAACCTGCCCAGGAGCTATTCCCACGATGTTTTACCTAAGGTATCTCCATCAAGTACTGAAGCAGATGGAGAACTCTATGTTTTTAATACCCCATCTGGGACGTCGAGTGTAGACACTCAAATGCGGCATGTATCTATTAGTTACGACATTCCTCCAACACCTGGTAACACTTACCAGATTCCACGAACATTTCCAGAAGGAACCCTGGGACAGACGTCCAAGCTAGAGACTATTCCAGATATTCCTCCACCTCGGCCACCAAAACCACATCCAGCTCATGACCGATCTCCTGTGGAAACGTGTAGTATCACACGCACGGCCTCAGATACTGACAGTAGTTACTGCATCCCTACAGCAGGAGTGCCACCATCACGTAGCAATACCATTTCCACTGTGGATTTGAACAAATTGCGAAAAGGTCAGCTCTAGTTGGTTTCTCCTAAATAGAGTTAATGATAGAAAGTCTGTTTTTCTAAATTTTTGTTCTTTTAAGAATAGTATGAGATGAAACGACAGTCCTTCCCTCCCTCCTCCTCCCCAGCTCTGTAGCCAAGATACCAGTTTCAGTAGATTTCTGGAAGAGAGGGTGCGTGTGCATGTATGTGGGTCTGTGTACATGCTCTGCTGGAAGGGAGATAGAGTTTTTCATCTCTGAAAAAGTATGGCCTTCGTAATGCCTTCCTGCCTCCTCCTTCTCTCCCACTTTCTGTATTTCCTGGGTGGGTAGGCCCCTGATAGGGCAGAAGAGCAGGAAATGGACCAGCCACAAAGCCTCTCCAGGTTGCAACATTTCGTGTATTTGTGTGTCATTATGGACACTTCTCTGACATATCTGTCGGGTTCTGTTTCCTTCCTTCCTATAAAAGCAATTTTCATGTTGAATCTGACAGGTGATGTTCAGTTCCAACCAAGCCATTATGCATTTCGTTTGTTTTTAATTTTTTTCAGCACTCTGTTATCCCTAACCACTTCAATTACTGCCAGTTGAGTATACTTTTCCTATACCATCTCCTAGAGTCTGCCACCAAAAGTTACATGTTTTTGAGAGGAGAAAGTTGGGTCTGGTTATTCTGACATTCTTAAATTCCTAAAAATATAAAGCTAAAGTTGTAAATATACATACCTACCCTGAAAACTATCCACTAAAATTTATGTATTTTGCAGTAGAGTTATCCAGCTGTCTTAAAGAACGTAACAATTTAAGACATCATGAATAGTACTTATATTAGTGCTTATTCAATGGTTCAATACCATTTTCTAACTCCCTTCTTGAAGCAAGTGAAAAACCTGATTAGAAGGGAAATATCACTTATTCCCAAGGTGATAGAAAAAATGAGAAAGTAGAGGTATTTCTCTTTTCCATCTTTAGATAATCCCATCTCATCCCAGGCCTAGACATTCATTCACTGTTGTAATCAGATACTGGTATCGGTTGGCATATGAGTATCTCTAATTTCAAGTGGTTTAATTTACCAATTCAAGATAGTATTATCCTGTGAGCTGTGAGCATACTTTTTAAAATCTGTGTGTGTGAGTGAGAGAGCGTGTGTGTGTGTGTGTGTGTGTGTGTGTGTGTGTATGTGTGTGTGTATGGAGAGAGAGAGAATAGGTCATTCCTGATCACCCTGAGAGTTGGCAAAGATGGGAAGAAATGTTGATAGTTTGTTCTTTATTTTAGATGCTAGCTCTCAAGACTGCTATGATATCCCACGAACATTTCCAAGTGATAGATCTAGTTCACTTGAAGGCTTCCACAACCACTTTGTAAGTATATAATTGACCTTGGCATCCTAGAATGTATCTTATTGTCAGAACCTGCACTTAATGCCCTGAAACTGAAGGAGATCATGAAATAGTAGTACCTTCATATCCATATGCATAGGTGTGACTTACAATTGTGTTTGTCCATTTGACAGTAGTTTTTGTTTATTAAAAGAAATGTGTATGTGTTTTAGAAAATCAAAAATGTATTGACAGTGGGAAGTGTATCAAGTGAAGAACTGAATGAAAATTACGTTCCTATGAATCCCAACTCTCCGCCACGGCAACATTCCAGCAGTTTCACAGAACCAATTCAGGAAGCAAATTATGTGCCAATGACACCAGGGACATTTGATTTTTCTTCATTTGGAATGCAAGTTCCTCCTCCTGCTCATATGGGCTTCAGGTCCAGCCCAAAGACCCCTCCCAGAAGGCCAGTGCCTGTGGCAGACTGTGAACCACCCCCTGTGGATAGGAACCTCAAGCCAGACAGAAAAGGTAAGGAGAGGGTGGCGTAGAGAAAGGATCTGGGTTGCCAATTACGGTCTGCATTTTACTGTCATGAAGTCCAAAATGGAATTGGAATGAGAAATTCTAAAGTATTTCCTATTACCTTAGTTATCACTTATTCAAGTAAAGCAATACTGCTATTTATAGATTAATAATTATCATGTTATATGTTGATGCCCAGGTGAGATTTAGCTCTCCTCTCTCTAGAGCAGAGGTTACAAACTAAAATACCCACAGGGTTTGACAGGTGACAGGAGACAGTTAAGAGAAACTAGAGCTTGACCCATCTAAATGGGGCTCCTACTACTGGGCTCCGGTCCTTTGTTGACTTTTGGAAATATGGGTCCATATAGGCAAATCATCTGATGTTTCAAGAGAAGCTGGCAGTTTGGATTTTATATGTATTATCTCTTGATTTTTAAGTTCTATGAGGTAATTTGGAGCCCTGATGGCGCAGTGGTTGAGAGCTGTGGTGAGCTATGGCTGCTAACCAAAAGGTCAGCAGTTCAAATCCACTAGCTGCTCCTTGAAAACCCTATGGGGCAGTTCTACTGTGTCCTGTGAGGTTGCTATGAGTCAGAGTCAACTCGATGGCAGTGAGTTTATGAGCTAATTTAATTATTTAAAAATAAAACACAAACCAAAACCAAACACTTCTACAAGCTAGATATAGCCTTTCAACTGGTATTTTGTAACCTCTTCTCTAGAATAGAGACTATCAAATCAGGCTTAAAATTATTAATGTACTTGATGTAATTCTTAAGGATGGGGAGGTTGCCTATATAATCTTTCCATTCTGTCAGTATAACAATGTCTTAAAAATTATTCCATCTATGCTGGGGTATAAATAAGTGCTTCTAGTCTATTCTTTTATATACTATAAGCAAGTGCTTCTGGCCTGTTCTCTCCTGCTGGCTTTCATAAGTAACATTAAATTCTGAAGTAGCGCGGTCTGTTGAGAACTCAGTGTAAAAAGAAACTTTTCAGCCAAATTGGTAATATAGACCCAAGTTTTAAAATTTGGGGGTTTGAGTGGCTAAAACACAGACAACTCGCTGTGTTGAAGCATGCTGTTAATGTGACTTAATCTTGAGAACCAAATAAGTTACTGTGCTGGCTGTGTGACGCATAGGGCACCCTGCAGGGGAGTTCAGCACATTTGAAAAGTCTCATGTGCTGGATGTAGCCTTTTACGAACATGTCATGTTTGTGTAAATTTCTCATTAACCTGGACTTGGATCATTAATATTTGTTCTAATTACATTCCAGTTGTGGGGAACAGAGCTTGAGACTCACCCAGAGTATCTGAAGAAAAAGGATTTTGTTTTATTTTGAGTAAGGACACACTAGCGCAGAAACTAGAGTTCTCAGGACCTGAGGCAGTTCTAGGGGACTCCTTCCGTGGCCTGCTGGCTGTCTGCGTTTCTGTCTCTGGTGGCAAGTCTTTGTATCTCCTTTGTTCTCTCACTGCCGGATTGCACATTCCTTCCCTCTTCTGCTTTCTTCTACTCTGTAACCTCGACTTTAAATGGCTTCTGCTCCACAAGAGCTTTGGCCTACAGTGTGCCTCTGTGGCTTCTGTTCTGCCTCATGGCTCCTTTCTGTGTGTTCTTGAAGCTTTGGTTCCTGCTGCTAATTGCCTCATTAATTATTTACTCACTTCAGATTGCTATGAGAGAATTTGATTAGTCCAATTTGTCTTTTCACACCAGGCTATGTGATTGATTGTAGGCCAAGCCATAGATTGGCTGCTGTTGGGTCAGGCACCCCCCTTTGGTCCAAACTACTGGGAAGACAGAAGTGTAGAGGGGATGGGGCAGCAGAGGGGGGCACTTGCTCCCACGTGCAGTCCCAGGGGGGCCCCTGATGAGGCACGGAATGACATTCAGAGGTGCCACAAATATGAAAGGCGCCTCACTGAGGCAGCTGGACGAGAGGGGGAATGGCGTTTCTGCTCACGCGTCGCCGCTATCAACATCTGTTCATCTTGAAATGGGTGGGGGGGTGGGCGCAACTTAGAGATTGCCCCTGTGTGCTGATTACCCTCCCTGCGCCCCTATGGAAAGATAGTCCTGTGTGACACCCACGGCCACCCAGACAGCCAAAGAGGCAGGGCAGTAGGCAGAAAGGTGTGTGTTGCAGGCTTGTTACTTGATCATTTTTTTCCTTCTGTTTCTTTTGGTCTTCATTTGTCTTTAAGTCTGTTTTAGACATTATTAGTTTCTTTTTTACGTGCAATATACAGAAGTATGTGTGGATGTGTTTAGATTTATAGTGTCATGAACTCTTTGAAATATTGAAATATCTATTTTAATGCAAAACTGGTGCTTTCCTTATTTTCCTGTAATTAGAGCATGTTAGTAGCAGATTGCTACTTTTTAAGCCAAAGCTTAACTGTTTTCTATCATGAAGTCCAACATAAATGAGGATGGAGGTTTGGGAAAAAGTACAGGGTTCTAAGCGTGACCTGCTTTGCTCCCCTACCTACTCCTTCCTTTCCTTGGGCTCTGCAGAACACAGCCTGAAAATTCTCAGTATAGTTCATAGTTATTGATGCCACATGTAAGCTCAATACAGACTCAGAAAAGAACCTTATTTATATATTAGAAAAGTTTTAAGATCATAATGATATGCTCACTTCATTTAGTATCATCTAGGTCAGAAAGAGTTCATGTACACCATATTATTATAAAACACATTAATATGTCTATATCATAATAATATGGCATATGTATAATACTGTATATCATAGATATTACATATATGTATAATTATACCTCCTATGTACATCGTAAAAGCACTGTGTATTTTAGTACATAAGAGATTAATTGTCCTAGTTCTCTAAGCCAATCTGAAGTGACTCTACAGTAGAACAGAAGAAAGTAGATGGGACTTGGTTACTTCTGGAGATTGTGTTCAGTCTTTTGAGCTGTTGGAAGACAATCATGAGCTCATTGACCAGATTACTTATTGGGTATATTTACTAAGAAACAGAATGAACTGAGAAAGAGCACCCAGAATGAAATACTCACATAATTTTTAGAGAAATCAAAGAGAGTAGGTTTAGCATAGCAATGAAGAGATTACCAAAATTATAGTAATGAAAACAGGATTTTACTTTTATTTAGTACTATTCCATTTTTTAAATAAATATGATAAAAGAGAGGCATGGGAAAGTAATGTTGCAGGTCTAACTTTTTTACCTGTCTTTAGAAGGTTGTAACGCTTCAAAAAAACACATTTTAAAACGCAAATTCCAGTCTAGTAGCAGAGTTTATCCTTAAAAATTTTAATTGTAAAACAAATGTCTTGTGTGGTCATGAAATTCTTCTCATCATTCATAGCATTCTTATGAGTCTCAATTAAAATTTTATGACATCTAATAATGACAGTCTGTTGTTTCAGGGTCTCTTGTTGACTGAAACTCATAATAAGGAAATATAATTCTATCAAGTGTGGCCTTCATTAGTTTTCAAAGCACAGCATAGTTCAAATCCCAATATAAACAGTTTCCGTGGTTGTCTACTTTGTAAGAGTCTACAATAAATGAGTAACATTCTAGTCTTGTTTCTGTCCCCAATTATAGAAGTCAGCTGCTGTACTTTGCAGTACACATGAGTTTTCGGAATAGTTCTGGGTAATTGAAGCTGAGAAATAAATAGATACTCTAAACACTTAAACTTACTGTATTACCATGGACCCTTTGTTATACTGTGGTGTCTTGCATGTTGCTGTGATGCTGGAAGCTATGCCACCAGTATTTCAAATACCAGCAGGGTCACCCATGGTGGACAGGTTTCAGCAGAGCTTCCAGACTAAAACAGACTAGGAAGAAGGACCTGGCAATCTGCTTCTAAAAAAATTGACTAGTGGAAACCTTATGAATAGCAGTGGGACATTGTCTGATACAGTGCCGGAAGATGAGCCCCTCAGATTGGAAGGCACTCAAAAGGCAACTGGGGAAGAGCTGCCTCCTCAAAGTAGAGTCAGCCTTAATGACGTGGATGGAGTCAAGCTTTTGAGACCTTCGTGTACTGAGATGGCACAACTCAACATGAGAAGAAACAACTGCAGACATACATCGATATCCTAGGCATTAGTGAGCTGAAATGGACTGGCGTTGGCCATTTTGAAGCAGACAATCATATGATCTACTATACCTGGAATAACAAATTGAAGAGAAACGGTGTTGCATTCATCATCAAAAAGAACTTTTCAGGATTTATTCTGAAGTACAACACTGTTGGTGATAGGATAATATCCCTGTGCCTACAAGGAAGACCAGTTAATACGACTATCATTCAAATTTACTCATCAACTACTAATGCCAAAGATGAGGAAATTGAATATTTTTATCAACTTCTGCAGTCTGAAATTGATCAAACATGCCATCAGGATGCAGTGATAATTACTGGTGATTGGAATGCAAAAGTTGGAAACAAACAAGAAGGATCAGTAGTTGGAAAATATGGCCTTGATGATAGAAATGATGCTGGAGATCACTTGATAGAATTTTGCAAGACCAATGACCTATTCAGTGGAAATACCTTTTTTCAACAACATAAACAGCAACTATACACATGGACCTCACCAGTTATACTCTTTGCTAGGCCTCGGATCTCCAGAAATGAGGACGGAAAGATCACTTTCCTGAAGAAGCTCACTGTCTAGTTCAGGAGATAGACAAGTAAATACATTGTCACAGTTAGCATGGAAGGGGCTGCGGTAAGCTCTTGGCGCTATTGGGAAGGCTCCCTGAGAACAGTCTGAGAGGATGAGTGGCAGTTACATGATGGTAGAGGAGGGCAAGATTGGGGAAGGATCTTCTGGTCAGAATCAACAGATGCCCAGATCTTTTAAAAAGAGAGGAGATAGGCCTTGTTCTGAGTGGTGAGTGGAGGAAGAGACGGAAGATGGAGAAGAGAAAGAAATGCCTTGCAGCTGCCTGTTCCTGAGGGTATTATAAACCCTCAGGCCAATGAGTTTGA